TTTACTCTAGGTCGGCTAATGGAACATCCGAAATATAACGGTTACCCTGGTACAAGGCACCTGCAGTGTCAAATTTCTCCGAAAAGCAACAAGTTTGCAGGTGATATAATTATAAACCATAAGATAAACTACAGAATAATTCATCAACAGTAAATCATTAGCACTCTGCAGCTGCTTGACATAAATCTGTGGTATTCGTCCATTGCGATTGCGAACTGCACTGATTGAGTCTGGAGAATGAATAACAGAACGACAGATAAAATAACACAAAAATAATATAGGCTACAGATCAAAGGAACAAAAAAAGTTATACAGAACAAATGATAGAAAGGACAAACAAATTGAAAATACAGACAGATAAATAGATAGACAGAACAAACATTGACAGATAGACAGTCAGTCACTGGCTTCATCTAATTTGTTGTCTCTCACTCCGTTTCTTTGGTCACATCATGGCACTGTAAATCTTGAAAACCTCATTGACATATACCAGCATGTAGCCGGACCCCTACAGTGAGCAACATTGTTAAGACTCCATCACAGAGACAATATGTCACTCCCTGTTCACCAACTGCAAGAGAGCACAAACATCCCAGCGGTTGAACTGACGGGAGCTCACTGACGCAAAACTGCTATTCTGTCCTCAGGATCATCAAGCCACTTTACGGACACAGGGAGCTCCATAAAGAAATCATATCATATCTCGCTTCGGCTGCAGTCAGAGACTTTGAGTCACGCTGCTGATATTAATGCAAACAACGGCGTTTTGCAATTTCGGTGGCAGGCAAATGCCATTGTTTCCCCAAGCAAACGGCTTGTCGCTTCTTTGAAATGACAAGCGGTATCAGTCGGTAGGACTACGAGCATCAGTGCTCAGATGTTCTGCAGGGATTTGAGCTATGAGGCCAGGCTGTCAGCAGACAAATTTGACAATATGGAAGATCTGTTGATCTGTTCTGCCTGTGTATTTGATTTTTTTTTTCCATATTCATCAGAGAGTGAATGGAGAGAAATTCTCAACGTAGATTAGAACTATTTGCAGCGCACTATAAAGTCCTCAGAGGCCATTTCTATCCGATGTATGTATTAGCCTTTTAAGTGATACTGAAGTGCTGTCAACAGTCTAGAGAGATTGTGCGTGTGGATGTAACAGCTTATGACATTTATACTCTGAGTTTACATGATTTCAGTGTGGGAAAAAATAGTTCCGCCAAGGGGGCTAACCGGATCCAAAAGTGCAACCTTCCCAGAGCGATTGGTTCATTGAAGGTTTCAAAGGTGAAATATGTAATCATAAAACAAAAAGAAAAACATGTCCCAGTGGTCTCTGGCCATGTTTAAAACGAAATTCTTTGCAAATTAGCGGTAATTCGAGGGACGTAATTGCTTGAATGGTGGGTTCATTATTATTCTTAATGAGAAACACAGCAACAAAACAGTATAATGTCATAGAACTTTCATTAACAAAACGAATAAGACGGTTTTATTAGTAAAACGAATTAGCACGGCAGCCTCAATCTTGTGGGTGCGCTTGAAGGTGTGTAAATTAGAAGTTTACTTTCGGATGCTGCCACCTTCATCAGGCAAGCTTTACAGATTGTCTCATTCATGTTTGCAGGTTCCCAATTAGAATTGGGTTAAATCCAAAATATTGCCGAATAGGAGCTTTTATATTTCGCTTTGAAACCAAATCTTCCGCCATAGTCTTGTCAGTCAGCTTGTCTCACTCTTCGTGATTCGACTCTCGTACGGCTCAAGCCGAACTGAGCAGATGCATTCAGTTTTTAATTCAGTAAGTGTCTGTTCTCTAACTAA